CCTGATCTGTTACAGCTTATGTAAGAAAATAGCTTCTTACTATAAACAATGCTTTTGACCTTTAATAAATATTTGGTCATGAAAGTGTTGTTACGGGAAGAAAAGTAACTATGTAAATATGGTCCCTTCTGTCTCAACAAGTTTTGCTCGCTGTGCATCTTCCAGTCAGATGTGCTGCTCCCACTGATGCAAACAAGTGTGCATTCCCACCAGCTCAGCAGGGCCAGTTCAGCTAAGGGAGCGTGAGCTGGATTCTGATCCGCCTCCTGGATTGCCAGCTGAAGCTCAGAACTCTTGTCGCTGATCACGCAAGAAGCCGAAATAGACCAGGTGAGTTGGGCCATTTTGAATAACCGCCCTGACGTGTGTAAACTCAGCACTAGAACGGATTGGCATTTTTTTTTCAAATGTCAGGTTTTTTTAATCTTTTTTTTCAGCCAGGAAAAAAAAATTGACCCTCCCCACCTGCCCAAAATAAACACCTTGAAAATGATATTTCCCTCCCCTGCACCTTTTGGGATTAAGCAGAGAAATCAGTAGGAAGGGGAAGAGGGTGGGGCAGGATGGGGAACCGAATGAGGATTACTAGGATATTCCCTACCCAAGATGCTCCTCTGAGTTACGCCTCTAAATCCTGAAGAACTCCCCTGAAATCAGTTCAATCTTGCTTTTGTGAAAGATGATGAGCCAGAATCCAACCTCAGTTGCAGAAAATGGAGTTACTCCATTTTCCCCCTGAGAAGCCCTAAAGTTTATGCTCCCTTCCCTCTACACAGCTTGGTAACTTCCAAGAGTGGATCGGGAGAGGGCCCCTCCACCCTTCTACACACTGTCCTGGGATCTCTTGGCTGATAAGCAGCCTGTTTACATGGCCCTCAGGTGGCATCACGTTCCTTTAAACCACAGTAACTGGCTTCTGGATTTGTCCCATAGCTACATCCTTGGCATGTCAGCATCCCATCAGTTCTAAGTGCAGCTCAGTGGCCGGGGTGCCATTGAGAGCTGCCTAGTGAGAGCTCGATCACATAAACCCAGCAAGATCAGTTATTCGGTCAGAGATCTGTTGATTTCATCAGTGTGTCCGTAGACAGCTATGAGCAGCTTCAATAACCAGCTGAGGACAAATCCTGAAAACCCTACCGCTGTTTTCAAGCCACTTGGTGCCCATTTGAAAGCACAAATAGGACATGGAAGATGCAAAACCTCATTATTACCACTATGGTCTGCACTGATGGCCCCTCTAAGGGCTGGGACCAGAAATGCAATGGTGGGGTGACATTCTTCTCCAAGACCAAGTTTTTTGATATGGGCCCAAAACATCAGGTTCTCGCATTCCAAACTCTCACTGACTTTGTCTGGTGAAGAACTGAGGAAACCAGTTAGGACCTTAGGATTTGAGTCACAATGTTGCATCTAATAGGACTTGATCTACTGCTATTTTGAGTGTAAGCTCTTTGGGGCAGGGACTTTGTGTATCTCAAAGCACTGAGCATCCTACGAGTATTATATAAACAACAAGAAACAAGGGCCAAAACCGGAGTGTTGCTGAGCACCCTCAAGTCCCATTGAAGTCAGTGGGAGTTGGAATGCTCAGCACATCTCAGGATCAGGCCCACACGTGCTGGAACAATTTGTATAGTGGGGGTGCTGAGAGCCATTGAACCAAACTGTAAACCCTGGATATGATGGACAGCACTTCCAGCCAGGGGGTGCAGCAGGCCCTCCCTCCAGCACCTGTGATCAGATCTCAACTGAAGAGAGCAGGAATGAGAATGTGCCCCACTGGGGAGAACATGAGGGGGAGCCTTTGGGAAAGGGTCAGACCCCACCTTAATCCTGCTGGCTGCTTGCTTACTTCAGGCAAAATGCAGCACATGGGTTTCATCTGGTTAAAATTTACCCACCCCCATATCCCATTGCTTTAATCTGAGCTCAGTACCTAGAACTACTGCAGAGTCAGGCCTTGTCTCGTCTCTTGCACATCCTCCACTTGCACATGCTCCCCAGTATGTATGTGTACACACACACACACACACACACTGTACACACACGTACACACACAGAGGCTGCTTAGGGACCATTCACCATTTAGTATCAACTGCTGCTATCCTACAGACTTTACTGTTTAAGACACTGGTGCCAGTCTCTTGCACCGTCTGTCACTTTAGTACCTAGAAGCACGAGTGGGTCACTCAAACCACGCGATGACAAACCTAGAATCGGTCTGGCCTTCAGTGCCAGATCCACCCTCTGCTACAGAATACACGCCACCCAAACAACGGCAAATACCTGCACAAGCAGGTGGCGGGGTAATACACGGAGAGGTGTGGATTCCACTTGGTGCCAGTGATGGCTGGGGTATATTTGCCTTTGAGGCATGGTCTCCTTTCCCCCTACACTTGGGCAAGTCATGTCCCTCTGTGTGCCTCAGTTTCCCCATCTGTAAAAAAGGGGAGAGTGATACTGACCTCCCTTGCAAAAAAATCTTTGAGATCTGCAGATAAAAAGCACTATAAGACCTAGGGACTGCTGTTATTATTACACTAATAGAAGTTATACAGGGATTTCCTGGGGTAGATTGTGTTCTGCTGTCGAAATGTGCCCTATGCCCCCACACAAGAGCCGGTGGATTTCATGCTTACACTTGTACGACTGCTTCTGGTGCATCTGATGGCTGAGAAGGTGGATAGAAGTTGGGTTTGGGCAGAGACTATAGGCCAAGGGCTTTACAAGTGACAGTGCTGGTGACGGGGGCCCAGACTGACAGCCCTGGAGACAGACACTCTGTCCATAGAGCAGGCTTGGCAGGTATGCACCTTGCCAGAGAGCATCAGTCCTGAGCTGGAGGGTGAGAAGGGAGATCCGCCTCCCCAGCCCACCCAGTCCTTTGCCTCTCCATTCAGACTGAACACAGGGGACAACCAGTGCCATCGGTATCATGCTATGGACACGTGAGACCTGGACTTGTACCGGGCCAAGGACACCTCTTTTACCATAGAAGAGAGAATGTTTCCCAGGGCAGGAGCATGGGGAAGAGTCTGTTTGCCTTGTGGCATGAGTGTGTTCGTGTGCAGGGAGGGTCTGCGCTAACTGATAGCGAGTGGCTAACCCCAAGCAGGCTGGTGCATTGTTCAGCTGCGGCTTGCATTACTCCCTGTGCTAAAGCTGCAAGAGGCAATTCAGTTAATCCCCTTTGCAGCAGAGCACTTTCCCGATATATCCAAGGGACAGTTCTGCCCCTCTCCCCTCATCCTCCCCTCCAAACCCTGTCCTCAGACCCAGGTGAAAAAGTAGCACTTTCTCCTTGGTGAGATGCAGGCCCAGACACGGATCACTGAGGTCCCTTCCAACCCTGATATTCTATGATTCTATGATTCACTCCGTTGGCCAGAAACACTTCCTTCACCTCCTGCTACAACCGCGTTTCCTACTTCCCCGGCTAGCTCTGTAGCAACATGAAAGGCACTAGCCTTAGCTAGTATATGTGTTGTGTACATACGGTGAAGGCAGAGGGCAAATCCATCTACTCAGCTGCTCAGAACAGTCTCCAGAGTTTTCCTTTCAGGCTGAAACGGCACCATTTGTCAGCTCAAGAGTGCAAGACACTTTCTGAAAGCTTCATCAAAACCCATGCAGCTATCTTTGAATGACTCAGATAGGGAAAATACTATTAGCCTGGTTAAAACACCCCAGATCATCGTATGGTCATTTGTGTGTGCATGAACGCATAAACATTGCTTAACAATAGCTGAGTTTTAAAATGTGTCACACTTGGGATGTAGCTGGACCTCAGTGAGGGATCATGTGATCATGCAAGTGATCATGCTCATTACAGGTTTGAAAGCCCACCTTACAGATGCTGTAGATGCCCAGGCATAACCGGGGCTGGGAATGGGCAACAGGGGATGGATCACTTGATGATTCCCTGTTCCGTTCATTCCCTCTGGGGCACCTGGCACTGGCCACTGTCGGAAGACAAGACACTGGGCTAGATGGACCATTGGTCTGACCCAGTCTGGCCGTTCTTATGGTCACCTTCAAGAATCATCTCTTTCATTTTATATCTATGTTATAAACTCACACTTCAGTGACACTTAGGATCGGAAAGCACTTTGGGAACATTAGTTAACTAGCCTTATGTCAAAAGCACGGAGAATTTAATGGAAGACAATACACTTGTTTGGAGGGGGGAAGAGGGACCATGTTATAGTCTCTCATAGAAATATATCCCTGCTACAAAATTCAGCCAGGTGGGGCCAAGACCCTATAGAAAGGTGCTGGGGTTTTTAGACCGATTTCTATAGCAACCCATTACTTGTCTGATCATAGGATGTTTCCATACAGGTAAGCGTCACAACCGCCCTGGGAGCCAGGGCACTGGCCATGTTTAGAAACGCCTGCGGTCACCAGAGGGTGAATTCAGGTCTCTCCCTCCCGCCCTGCCACCCATTCAGGGTACCCAGAGAGGGACAAGCCGCAGAGCCTTTGCAAAGCAAGCTCGTGGACAATCACCAGCAGCTCCCAAACCGGAACCCCGCAGGCTCACCCCTGAGCGCAGGGCATTTCTTCTGGGTGGATGCAAGTGTGGAGACAGGACCGAGAAGCCTCTAGCCCTTGTGCGCAGCGCTAACCCTGGGGCTTGGTGTCTGGGCTGAGACAGCAGGTCTCCTCGGAAGCTCCGCTCCCTCCAGGGGGAGCCAATAGGTCGGGTTCCTGGGGAGGCAGCTCCTCGCCCTGAAGTCAGCGCGACCCCTGAGCGTGGCTGCTCCCCAGTGGGGCTCACCCCCGGATCTCTGATTGGGAAGGTCCCCGCCCCCCACCCCAGGAACCAGAGATGCTCATCGCAAGGGGCTGGATGCTGCCCCCTCTCATTCCCACGGGCGCCCGGGCTGATCCAGCGGGCGTCCCACCGGCGCAGACACGCGTGGAGGGTGGAGAGGGACCTGCCAGGTGCTGGAGGGGGCTCGGGGGGCGGCGGGGGGGGGAAAGCATCGTCTTACCTTCAGCTCTTCCCCGTAGAACCGGACCATGGACGCGTCAGCCACCAGCAGCGTCTCCACGAAGCGGGCCGCGGACACGAAGCGCTTGGCCCGGCGGCTGGCCCCCAGGGGCAGCTCGCTCCCGGGCGCGGGCGGCGCGGGCCCCCCCCGGCCCCTCCTCTGGAGCCGGTGCGGCTGCCGCAGCGGCTCGGCGCCCCCGCGGGCCGCGGGCTGGACGAGGTATTCGTCCCCGTCCACCAGGAAGGAGCCGCGGATGCCCCGGCACAGGCTCACGGCCGCCAGCGAGCCGGGCTGCGAGTTGACGGTCCCGGAGTAGAAGCATCGCCGCAGCCCGGCCTCGCCGCCGTCGGCCCGCGGGCCCCGCCGGCCCAGGCGCTGGATCGTCAGCCCCGGGGCGAGGAAGCGGGCATCGGGCGCCAGCTGCAGCACGAAGTCCCGGCGGAAGGCGGAGAGGCAGAAGGAGACCCGCTCTCCGCCCCGCGGGTCTGGGATCCGCACGGGCACCACCTCCTGGGAGTCCCCGGGCGGGCTGGGCAGCGCCCGGGCAGCCCCCAGCAGCAGCAGCAGCAGGAGGGGGCAGGCAGGTGCCCGCCTGCCAGGCACGGGCGGCTCCCGACGGGAAAGGGGCATGGTGGGACCGGACAAGTGCGACGGGAGACCCAAGTGCCGCCCCCCGGCAGGGCAGGGCAGGGCAGGGCAGGGCGAGCTCCGCAAGCCGGCGTGGGACCGGCGCTGGGGCGTGAAGCCAGATGCAATAGAAGAGGGAGAGGTTCACGCCGGCTGGTTTAATTACCAGCAAGCGGGAGAGATGGAGAAAACTCCGCTTCCCTCCGGAGCCCGGGCTGGGGGCTCCCTGCACCTTTGCAAGCCAAACACCCAGCAGCAGCCAGTCAGCTGGCTGCTTGGGCAAGGTGCTGAGGCGGAGGGGGGCTTGGGGAAGGGGCTTCTCACTCTCTCTAAGAGTTTGCTTCCCTCCTGTCTTCCCCAGGCGCTTCTGGCCGAGCTCGCCTGGAGCAGCCCCTCCAAAGCCTTTGCAGCCCCAAAGCGGGCTGCCGACTCCTCGGTATTTATACTTTCTTCCCCCTGCTTTGACATAAGAGGTTTATTTTTGATCTCGCACTATTCCACTTCCCCCTCCCCTGGGACCCGGAGAAGCAGGAGGAGGAGAAGTGAAAAAGGGAAAAAAAAAAAAAGTTTTGGATGGAAGTGGAGGCCAATCAGGAGCCAGAAGGGCCCGCCTCTCCTGTTTAAGTATCAACTCCAGCATTCCCCCCGACCCGTTTACTCGCTCCGGATTAACTCCTTCAGCCCAGCCTCTGCCGAGATCAAAGAGCCCGCTCTCACAGCAAGAAGCCTCTGGATTTCAGGGGAGTTAGTCCTGATTTACACGGAGACCAGACGCAGACCCTCCTTCTCCCCAGCTTACGCCCGTTTCACCCCCACTGATTCCAGAGGACTTGCTCCGGATTGCCATGGCAGAGTCCGACCCTTGGGGACTGAATCGGCGCCCACCGATTCCAGGGAGACCCGCCGAGAGCAGAGTCAGCCCCTTACCTTTCAGACAGCATTGTCGCCAGGGCTGAAAGCAAACTTGCTGCATCCAGTTTTTCCTCTGCAGTCCACAATATCCCCCCCATATCAGCCAGCGCAAATGCACCCTGTGGTCCAGAAGCAAATGCGGTCACACAGGGAGTGCGGACTCTGAACAGAACATCCCCCAAGCAGCTGGATGCTGAGGGTTTGAACGAAGCTGTTTTCCTAAAGCCAAAATAAAGCACCAGGCTTTATGGACTCGCCAGTAAAGCAGATTCCTAGTGTTTGCCTATGAGAATAAAATGACCCAAACAACACTGTTCCTTCCCCATTTTTTTTTTTTTTTGTGTGTGTGGTGTGCGCGTGATGGGGGGAATTCCTGAAACTATCCCATCTCATGATTTAAAGAAATAGAAACCACAGCTAGCTTGCTACCGGAGTGTCTTTCCAGGGAGTGGGATTCCTAGAGCTGGAAGCAGACCCAGGAAAATCACCTGTTGGCAGGTGCTCAGCAAGGAGAAAGCAGAACACAGCTCCAACAGAAAGCAGATGTTCTTGGCTGGGAAAGTTTTTAGAACCATGGAGCAGCTGTTGTGAAGGGGAGAGGGAAATCACCCCTTTGATAGATTGTTTCTTACCTCCTAAGCGCCCTTTCCCACTTGCCCCAAGAGACACCAAAGCTTTGCCTTTTGCTCCAGACCCCATTAAAAATCCTATGGAATGTCATCACTGGTGCTGCTTCTGCAGCCAGCCCTATGGAAAGGGGCCTCACTTTGCAAAGCCCACCCTCAGGTCTCAGGAGCCGCCGTGGAGTTGCAGGTGCTCAGGATTGGGCCAAAACTTCCTTTCCCTTCCAGCGCATGAAACCCCAGAGATCAGCCAATCTAACCTGTGTTTTAAATCTTTTGAAAGATTCCTTAAAGAATCCTTAAAACATTTGAAAGGCTAATGCAGCATTTTGAAGCTCTAGACACCAGGAAATCTAGTTTATGGCCAAGACTTGGGGGGTGGGGCAGGATCACGGTTTACAGGCTATTTTCCCTCCACAAATGTCTTAGTATGGGGAGTATTTACATCCGCCCCTCTCTCTGATGGTCTCTATTTAAAAACCAAGTCTCTACCTATATAGTAAACACACAGCAGTGTCTCCAAATAGAGTGCTACCCAGGGCCAAGTTTCTAATTACTGCTTGTCTTTTTAAAGAGAGCTGTAAAACCAACATGGTGGGAATCCATCTGTGACCTCTCTCTCTCAGTGGCTCAGTATCAAACGTGCTCAGTTTACAAATAATGGTTCCCCCCACCCCGCCAACACACTGTGGGATCTGAAAGTCAAGCTGGGGCCTCTCTCACCCACCCATCAGCATCTATAATAAGGAGGCTGCTCTTGGCTCTTAGCTGCTAATCCCGTTGCTTAGGACGCATGAGCTAGAATGGACTCCTGTACACTCTTTCTGTGCTTCGTAGGGGACAGAGGCCTAAGACGTACTGTATATTTATTTTGTAATTAAAGCCTGCAGATAGGACTCTGCTGCACATGGCTTGGTGGTGTAAGATGAGGCCATTTTTCCCATAGTGATTTTTCTGGAAGAATGTCACTTTCAGCAACACTTCACATTGCTATTTTTTGGGTTACTTTAAGAAAAGTTCACAATCGTGACATGGCCCTTCTGTAGTGTCTTTCCTCCAAGAACCTCAGCACACTGATGACTAGAGCCTCACAATCCCCTGTCCTGGGGGGTTGATATTATCATCTCCATTTAAAAGATGGGGAAACTGAGGCACAGATAGATGACATCTGACAGGGTCATGCAGAGAGTCAATGAACGGAACCCAGGAATCCTGACTGATTCCTTTTCTTTAATGATATGCCATCCTTCTCATCAACTCTCACTGCCCTAGCATCCAGCCCTATAATGTGAGCAGAAACAAATCCGACTAGGGTTTGGTAAAAGGGAATCTGGAGGTAACAGGTTATAAATTATGACCACAACAAGCTTGACTATGGCAGTAACATCTTCACAAGGCACAGGGGACACATCTTTCCAATACAACACAACTCATTTCTTATCCTCCCCTTCCACAGCCATGCCTTTGACCTATGAGGACACATTTATATCTTAGATTTTAGGCAGCCCTGGTTTTCATTAGTGGTTTTGTCTGCAAACAGTAGCTCGTAGTTTCTTGTAGCTGATACAAGTCTCTCAGGACTTGTTAAAATCAGTTCTAAGGAGTGCTTTGGGATAACATAACCAAACCTGGTTTTCACCTCTGGCTTCAGGCACTGTCCTTTCACAGATCGGAGGAGCAGATAAAAAAAAAGAACCCACTGACTTCTCTGGAGTATTTGTTTCTCTTTGTAACCCTTTCAGATCCACTTTACAAACCACCAACAGAGAACAGGAATTTATGGTTCAATGCCCGTGACACTGAAGTCAGTAGCAAAGCTCCCTTTGATTTCAATGGGAGTAGGATTGGGACTTTAATTTCCATGGGAGGGGCTGAGCATATAAAAGCATCTAATTAATAATCAATGTGAATTTAAAGCCCCTTTGATCAAATTGTTTGCAAACTCTTTCCCCTTCCCCTCTCCAAACACCTGAATCTATCACTGCACTGAGCCAGGAGACTAAGAAACAGAAACCTCAGGGAAGTCACCAATCTTCAAAATGCAGAACCCCAGTCCTAAGGTGCTGACTCTTGTGTGAGTTGTGCTGACTCTTGTGTGAGTTTTGCTTCCAGGATTGGGCCCGTTGCACATGCTCCCATGATTGTGTAGCAACGAAAAGCCTCTAGTATTACTGATCGCTTTCACCTGCCACCCCCGCTACATTGTCTTGGGTCACCTGCCTAATTTGGAGGTTTACTTCTTTTTTGGAGCACTGACTCAGAGCTGTGTCTCTTTTCTGTGCTTTCCCTGTTTAATTTGCACTCAGTTCTCTGCCTGCCCTGTGCTGTCTAGGGACAACATCTCTGAAGTCCATACAGTCCTACCACTCCAAAAACAACCGCTAGATGTCAGCGCTGTTTTAGTCTCTCTTGCTAGTGTAAATAATGAACTCCCGGCAAGGGGAATAGTCAGTGTCTTAGAGTGTGTTCTCACCTCCCACAGACAGTTATAAGAAGGGTTGGGGAATAGTGTTTAGTCAGCTGAATTCAGTATCTATCTATCTGTTCATCCAGTGATAGATCAGCTGGTAATCATCCAGGTTGAATTACCTTCACACAGTGAATATCACTCTGTGATTTGACTAACGCTTGGAAGTGTGTTCTCTACTGAATTCTCAGCTGGCAGCTGCCTGAGGCTGGCCCCCAATATTCCCCCTGTGTGACTGTCAGTTTCCATGAAAGAACTAGCAATGATCAGCCCGAGGAGACAACTTTTCCCATACAGGAGAACAATTTGAACAGGCCTTACGCTGCAAATATTGGCTCAAGAGGCAGCGAGGCATCCGGAGTCATGGGATGTTGAATTTGAGATTTTCATTCAGGCCTGTAGCTGATAGTGAAGTGTGCAAATGAAGAAAAAAAAAAGGGAATTATTTGTGTACAGAGGGCCTGACTCTGAGTTCACTTCCATAGTGTGAACCCAGAGTAACTCCACTGAAACTATCAGAGTAAATTCAGAGTAGCTAAAAACAGCATTTGGCCCAGCCTATGTAAATACTGTATCTCCTGAGGTTGAAATAATACATTTGATTAGTTTTCCTTTAAAACAAAACCCAGTGGATAGGAACAAATCTCTTTAGGAAAAGATCCATGGACAGGATCTGTTTCTTGCCAGATTATTTTCTAGTGCGCTCATTGAAAAACGTCTTGATCATAAAGATGTGAAACTACAATGCCGGCAAATGTTGATAGCTTAGCATTTTCTTTAGCTAACTTGTGAAAAAGAATCACAGCCCTGCTTAGCACCTGTACCGCTCAAGATCAGTGCATAATAAATGGGCAAGTGCATCCAACACCAATATATATCATTGTAGGATATCAATCTACAATAAGTGTATTAAACACTCAATCGTGTAAATTTGGCCACCAGAGGTCACCCTTGATCTACAAGTATTGTTATTTTAGACTTTAAACACACAAATCCCTGCAATATTATGCAAAGAATCATTCACATTTCTCCTCACTATAATGCTTTACTCCATTTATACATGTCCGTTTAGGGCCTTGACATTTTCGTTTCAGTTAGTTTTTAAAAATACATTTCTATTGAATTACAGAACTAAGGAGGATATTATCTGCCTCCAGAGGGCAGTCTTGATTGACTGTGGTTTCAAATTATTTTCCACACTGACACTCCAGTCCGTGGTACCCTTAGACACAGGTATATGAGTGTGCTTTAAGGAGAACAGGTTTAAAGCTTTCCAAAAATAGAAACTAAACAATAGCCCCATCATTCCAACTCAATTAGTAACTTACAAGGAAACATGCTAAGAAAACGTTTGATGACAAGCTTGCGGTTAGGCGCTGGCTGATGCCTCAGGAAACATGGGTTTAAGTCCTACCTCTCTGACCTTTGGCAAATTAGTTTAATTGCTCTGTGCCTCAGTTTCCCCTGGGGATAATGCTTCCTTTCTGCCTCTTGTTGTCTGGCTTGCCTATTTAGACATAATAAAATGAGCTTATTTGTATTATAGCAGTACCAAAGGACCCCAGCTGAGATCAGGGCCCCATTGTGCTAGGCTCTGTACAGAATAAGAGATAGAATGTAAACTCTTCAGGGAGGAACTATTATGTGTCTGGTACAATGAGACCCCACTCTTGGTGCTGTCTTAATGTCTATAAATGACGATACATTCCCACATTTCTGGACACAGGTAAGGTACGACCTACATTTACCCTCACAGCACTCCCAGAGTGAGGGACATGCTAAGATCCCCATTTTTCCAATGCGGAACTTGCTGAAAGCCTATGGCAGAGCTGGGACTTGAACCAGGTCTCCTATTTCCTGTGGCTAGGGTTCTAGCCAAGCACTTCCTTCCCAATACTTCTTAGCTCTTTTCATCTGTAGCGCGCCAAGTGCATTACAAAGGAGGGCAGTATTATTAGCCCCATTTTACAGATGGGGGAACAGAGGCCCAGGGCGGTGAAGAGATTTGCCCAAGGTCACCCAGCAGGCCAGTGTCAGGCATAGAGCGTAGATCTCCTGAGTACCACTCTAGTGCTCTATCCACCAGATGCACATACCTGTTTATTTCCACATTGCATTTCATACTTTTATTTCCCTTTTACACTACGATGGAAAAAGTCACATCTCTTCCTTCCTTGTTTCGCCCTTTCCC